GTGGGCGCCCAGTCCAATTCTTGCAGTAGGGCATGGTGAGGTAAGCCTTTTTGGGGGCCATGTTAGCACCAGCGCCACCGCCGCCACCACCACCACCACCGCCACCGCCACCGCCACCGCCAGCGCCAGCGCCAGCGCCAGCGCCAGCGCCAGCGCCAGCGCCAGCCGCACAACCACCAGCAGCAAGAGCACCAGAACCACCAGCAACAGCACCAGCACCAGGACCAGCACCAGGACAGCACCAGAACACCAGCAGCACAAGCACCAGGACCAGGACCACCGTTCCACAGCCTCCACTTTCAACCAGCCCCAGCATCAGAAGTGGTAACTAGCAGCATGCCTTTTTCCCGACGTCTGCATCAGCAGCAGAAAAAGCCGCAGTAGCACTCACATCGTGACTATAATTCGCTATGATTGTGAGTAATTGCCCACAAGTCTGGGTCGACAATCTCCATACAACGACTTTTTCTGGCACGCATGGCCCGTGACCCTAGCTTTAGCCCCTGAACAGGCTCTAAACACAAGGTAGGTACATCGCAAGACACTGGGGTTCTCTATGCTTCTAGTCATAGCAGACTATCAAACACGTGATACTGTCCCCCCACCAAGTAAAAGTCTATCATGCAGGTAATGTTGCAGGCTTAATGTAATGATTTTTGCAATAAGTTCCCATTTGTTGCTGAATGGGGACAGTATCAACCCAAAACCCTGAACCCAACATTGGTAGCCATGGAAGCTTCTACATACAAACTGCTGCCTGTCCATGTACCAAGTCTGAGCAAGGCCAATTTTCCATAGCGCTTTGGGTTTAAGGGACGTAGGGTTTAAGTTTATGGCTTAGGGCTTTAGGTCTACGGATTGGGGTTGGTGGCTTAAGGTGCGATGGAGGAAATCTAGCAGGACCGTATACCCCAGGATGCGCAAAGCTCTATGGTTTTCAAGTGGTGCCAGACTTCCTCTTCCACCTTTGGTCCATGCTGTGGTGTAAGAAGCCGTGCTTATCCTGCAAAGAGGCACTGCCCCCTGGACCACCATTGGAGCAGCACCATGAGGACCTGACAGGAAGCAATTCAGAAATTAAACGTGCTGCATACGAATGTGGAAAGGGCTTTCTCTTGTGACCGTGACATCAGTACAAGCTATCTGAGTGTGCCTTCGCCGTCAGGCCGAGAAGCTTTCATCATAACCCTAAACCCTACACAACCATAAGCCCTAAACCCATGAAAAGCTTGCAGCTCAAAGGATCCATTCACGTCCGTGCTAAAAATTCAGCGGCCCTCGGTACCTAGCTTTTCTTCTCGCTCCTTTAAGTCGCCTACAGAGGCAGTCTCGCGAGTGGTGTTGAAAGGCAGCATGTTTCAGACTAAGAGTGTCCGAATTAGGCCACTCTGAAGGGGAGCCGTGTGCATTTTCCGGCAGTCAAATTCCTGCGCAAGTGTGCAGTCTAGCCCTTTGGGCTATCACAAGCCTGCGTAGGCTTTTCTCAATCCACGGCAAAAGCCTTGTCAAGTCACAATCTGATCCTTCCGTGCATCTCTTGCTGGCATCAATTTAATCTTTGGGAGGCAGCAACATAGAAGGAGTGTGGTTAAGCTCGAAAACGCCAGCCAGCTTCCCTTTGCAATTTCGTACGGCATCTGTCGATAAAATACAAAGCGCTCAACGGCCACAGCTGAACCAAAAAGCGCAAGGCCCAACAACACAACTGCCAGTGACAGCAGGATGTCCAGAGAGATCATCCGGCAGCGTGCTCGAAGCCTATGCGTCAGATGCATCATCAATTTTAATATGCAAGGCAGTACCTGGGCTGTGTTGGTCGTAAGGGAAGAACAGCTTGCACTACAAACCCTCTTATCAGCATACCTGGCGAGCAGACTTGAACAAATGCCCGTTTGCGTGCCCAGACGCTGCGAGCCAAAGTGCAAGGTGCCTGGCAAGTTCAGGCAGGACTCTTTCTTGAGGCTCTCGTGCAAGATTCCCGAAACCTCTCCACAGAGCTGGCGAGGTGGCTTGCAATATTACGCTATATGTCAAGATGTTGTTGAGCAGCTGGAAGGAAAGATGCTCTCCAACTTCGGACTGCACATACTGCTCGAAATGCGCAGTAGATCCGAACCAGGCAGAAATGCAAGCTTCGAGGATCCGGCGGTCGCAAAACCTGCCGTCAGGGTGTCCAGTCTCACAACAAGCACATCGGCTGTTGTCCAAGGTAAAGTCCATAATCTGATTCTGGAATGTGTCAACATCCCTCCAGTAGGCTCGGACGAGGAAAACCGCAAGTGGGAGACAGACCAGCGACAGCAACCCTACCACAAAGATGCCTCCTTCCCAAAAGTTCGCGAACGGAATGACCCGCATCAATACCACCAGCGCGCACGCACCCAAATGGATTCCCAAGCGAAAGATGCCTAGAATGAGAGGACAAATCTGCAAGTGGGCTGCAGGATCTTTCGCATGACTGTGCAAAAAAGCACTGAACTCCCACATACACCAAAGCCTCGTCACATATGTCTGATCCCACAAGACCAACATCCTGGGTTGCTGTTAAGGAACTTAATTTAAGTTACTATATTGGGGAAGCCCTATTATTTACTATATATACCCATTATGGTAACTTAATTTAAGTTCCTTAACAGCAACCCAGCATCGATTTGGAGTTTTTCAGTATTGCACCCAAACTAAGGATGCCTTCTGCTTTGACATTCTCATTCACCTGATCGATGCAGGCGACATCAAAAAAAACACGTGTCCTTTGCCAGAATAGCACCAGCACCAGATAGTATGTCAGCATCCCAAAGATTGAGCACCAGTCGCGTGAAGAGGGTAGGATTCCAGCTGCCATTAGACTGTAAGCAAGGCTTGCATTCAGCGTGCCCAACACAAACGCAGCAAGACCATTATGCCAAAACAGTATGTTCAACAGCTTCAGCCAGCTCGCCGCTTGCCAGCTGTGAGACCAGAACTCACTTAACCTTGGCTGAAGGGGACGCTCACTCTATGATGATTCACCTTTACTATTACTATTATCTTTATATTGTTACTATGACTATTAGCTGTTATCATTATTACTATTACTAACTATATTACTATTTCTATTATTATTATTATTACTATTACTATTACTATTACTATTCGTATTCGTATTATTATACAAGGCAGAGGGCAGAGACAAAGAGTACGTAAGATTCTCGGGAAGGTCTTTGGCTCACAGCAGGAACTCCCCCCGAACCAAGAAATCATATGTATTGTAAACTTCAAATAGCGGCCAAGTCAAAAAGCTACGCGAAAACCTGCCCAACAACTTCCTATGTGGTACACTGAAGCCATACAGCTTGTGCAGTGTTTTCCTCCACCAGTAGAGCGGTCCGAACCAAGTGATGTATCCCAGCTCGATTCCACGAACACTCTGCGTCCGCATGCTTGACATGGAGGCCATAAAACGAACCATCAGGTCCATGCGTGCATCATCATTCTCCATCACCTGGAGTGGGGTTGAAGGCTGCTGACGTGTGTTGAGAACAAAGTCCCCATGCCAACTGCGCCTTCTAGAGGGGTTTAAATTACAATGTTGGCTGGAAACGTCATGAAACACAACTTGTGTCTCAAGCAGGTAGCCAAGTAACGTTTGCAGTCTCACTTGCATTCGGAGGTCTGTTGTCAGGTGCGTCCGACGAAGCACCGATACAAACCTCCAAGCAATCCTCTTTCATGGCATCAGGGGGAGTTTAGACCCAGGACCCTAGGCCCTAAACCCTTATCCTAAAACCCTAGACCCTAATCCCTGAACCTAAACCCTAATCTCTAAACCTTGTATAATCCCCCTAGTAGTCCCAAGGTCTGAGTTGGGCACCCTCTCCCAGCTCTTAGAGCCCCAAAATAGCCTTACTGAGACCACCGTCCGTTCAAGACCCGCCGACGCTGTAATCCCCCGCAGGGGATTCGGGTTTAGGCTTGTAGTGCCAGTGCTGTGTCTGCATAATTCCTTGCGGTTAAACTACTAAAAATGAGCATAATTCCTCCAGGGATCGGAATACAAAGACTTTCCCAAATTAGGGATACCTTTCTAGGGGTCCTTATAATAAGGATTATCATGCTTTTGGTGTCTACAATAGGGTCCCCTCCCCCCTAATTGGGGAACCAGCTATGTAAAGGTTCCATGTTACTTCGGCAGAGGGTATGGCTCGCGTGCGCCTAGTCAAAGCTGAGAGCAAAATCTTTGCAGACAATGCTGGGCTGGCGCAGCCTCCCGTGAGTTTAATCCCAGAAACATGAATTCCCGTTTTGCTGTAGTCTCCTTAGACCTAAAACAAAAATGATATTCTTAGTAATTCCTTATAGGGTTATAGTATAATAATGATAAATAAAAATAAGCCCTAAGAAGACTACAGTTTGGGGGGTCCAAGGAAGAATGCTGAAGTTGGGGAAACTCCCCTCTTGCAACCTCAATCTCCACCTAGGTCGAGTTTGTTGAGATGCACTTCGGAACAGAAGGCTGCTCGGCTGCTAGCATTTGCATGACGCCAGAAACATGGCCATGACATAAAAATCCTGATGCTCTGCTCTATGTGCTTGCAAACCATCTTTTCAATCGCCTGCAAAATCTACAAAACATTCGCCAAGCCGCAACTATGACTAGGACCGATGAGCCTTCTGCTAAAATTCTCCTCAGCTCTAAACCCTGTGTGCCGGCAAAAGCTGCTGCCTGTGAAGCTCACGCGCCTGTCCATGGCCAATTCGTGTGCAAAACTCATGATGTTGGTGGTTTGTTGAGTCTTCATCACAATTGCTCGAAGGCTGTAACTTTCTGCTGGGGTGTGTCCGTCCTTTACTCTGGAAGCGTGCGGCCACTCGCAGATAGTGTTGCATGTCACTCAGCGAGCCGGCAACTATCGACGCAGCATCGCGCGTCAGGAGTGCTTGCAGCTTTGCTCATGTGGTGCTACATGAGGGTTTCCGTAACATAGGCTCCTTTTGGGGTTACCCTGAGGGTCCAAGGACCAAATAATAGGGTTTTAGGTCCCAAATACCATCATATAGTAGTTTGGCCCAAAAACCCAATTTTTGGGTCCTTGGACCCGTATAGGGTTATAGGAAACTACCACATCTAGTTACAGCAGATCATTGCAAGGCTCATGCCTCTAGTGGAAGTCGCCCCGCGAACAGGCAGAAATCTGTAATCAATGCCCACGGTGGGCGCTGCAAATTAATTCTGCTGGCCACCTCTCAGAAGTCGCTGCTGAGAGGGCTCGACTTTGACAGCAAGTGTTAAGGAGACGCACAAGCACACAAGGAGAAGATAGCTGCTTATGCAGCGGATCATTTACACTGCGCTCCGATGGAAAACAGGGTCAGTAAGCGCAGGCCCTCAGACTTCCAGAAGATCACTTGGCGGAGTACCTGAACATGCTCGGAGGCAACTCCCCTGACATCTCTCCATCCCAGGGGATATGGCAAGCTTTAAAAACTTGGAATCCAAAACATACTCCTCAACTTAAGGTATCACTCGTTCGAGTATCCCCACCACGGGTCACCGTATGTTTGGAAATTCTGCACCCCTAAGCCAGACATGGCCGCGGCCTCTGGAGGATTTTCTTTTTCTCCAGCTTGCCCATTTGATTTCGTGGCCTTGTCCAAGTCCAATTCTCATTCTCACAGGCAATGCTTGTCTGAATGACGTCCCTGCCGCCACCGCCACCGCCACGGCCACGGCCACGGCCACGGCCACGGCCACCGCCGCCGCCGCCGCCGCCGCCACCACCACCACCACCACCACCACCTGCACCACCTGCACCACCTGCACCACCTGCACCACCTGCACCACCTGCACCACCTGCACCACCTGCACCACCTGCACCACCTGCACCGCCTGCGCCACCTGCACCGCCTGCGCCACCTGCACCGCCTGCGCCACCTGCACCACTGCGCCAGGCGGTGGAAGCCGAAACCGCCCTCTAGCGGTATACTGCTACAACTCTGCCCCAACATTCTGGGCACGTAATTTTGGCGCGCAACCCATTTTTTCTCCGTCTCTGTCAACTCCACTGTGGTCTGAGATCTTGACAGCTCCGTCACAATGTCCAACTCCTGCGGCACCTTGATGGCAAGTTCTTGGTAGGGTTGATGTGTTTCAGTTTGTAAGGTTCAAGGCTCAGTTAGGGCTTAGTAGGGCTGTTATTGGAACAACACTGATGATACCGCCACTGGCAACAGTAAAAGTGACCGTCTGAAACAACAGAGCCCCGGTAGCCATCATTACAATGAGAACATCATCATGACTTCATCGCTACTAGCATGGCTAGGGCGATGAGCACTCGGCGTGATTATTGTGATAGAGGCCAGCACGCAACCCTGAATCCCCATGCAAGCTCTTCAACATTCCCTGCGCGTCTTGCTCATACATCTAAGGCCCTGCCGCAAAGACCACAAAACGCAAAATTCGAATGCTTGTAGCTTCTTAAACTGGCAAGGATCCCTAAAGCCCCCAAACCCTAAACCCACCGTACATTTGAACATAGCAAAAACTGCTTGCAAACACTGACACAGGCCTCGCGCGCAGCATGTTTTGTTTCGTGATTAGCCCTGGCCACAAATTCAACGACGTGGGTGTTTCAAACGACTGGCCAATCCAGGCAAATCCTGAACCCTAAACCGAAGCCTCAACCCAGAAACCCTATCATGTCAACCCTATAGTCCCCAAGCCCTAATCGCCGCCAATACTTCTGCAACTGGGTTGCTGTTAATGAACTTAAATTAAGTTACCATAATGGGTATATATAGTAAATAATAGGGCCAGGGTTTCCCCCATATAGTAACTTAAATTAAGTTCCTTAACAGCAACCCAGTCAACCCTAACCTAGCTCCGTAACTCCTAATCTCCAAAGGTCGCCTCTGTCATTAATCCCTGAATCCACACATCCCTAAAGCCTGAACCCTAAAAGGGTTCGGTATGGAAAACGTTGTGGGTCAGCGCCTTGTAAGATGCCATCCGCTCCTTGCCCCAGTCTCTCAACTCCTGCAGCTGGCTGAATCTCATTAGTTTTGGGTGTTGGGCAATGACATTTAAGGTGTAGACATTCTCAATAATCTACAGGTGCAAGCAAAAGGACCCAAGTTCATGCTGGGGGTCCGCCGACCTCAGGGGGGATTTGGATGCTAGCCCTCTGAGCTTCCCTTGAGGAACCCGTATTCCGAAAAAAATGTTTTTTTGAAAAGCGCAAGATTTGAAGGCCATAAACCTCCAAATCCTACACCCTAAATGACCCTAAGCCCTAAGCCGTTTTGGCTCGGCCCTGGCAAGTTAGTTGTGTCCAGCGGTTGAGGACTACTCGCAATGCTTCAGCCTCAGCCTCTGCCATGTGACCAGCACATGCGTGACCCCAAGGCCAGTTCAAATAAAGTTGAGGCACTGCTGTCGCGAGCTCATAGCTCTGCACTGGCTGGAAGACATCTGGTAGTTCCCCTAACCAGGGGGACCCCAATTTAGTCCTAACTATAGGGACTCCCGAAAAGGTACCCCTGATTTTGGGAAATTCCCATCTATCCAGTCCAGGCAGCTTACATGCGACGCCGCAGTGCTGCGCGTATTCTGTCGGATCGGATGGTCAAACGAGGTTGCTTCAGCGAAAAGGGTTCTGAAATGTAGAGATCCTAAAGTCACGTTCCACGCTGAAGCCGGTTCTTTCCGCACTTTAGCAGCGCCACGGTCCTGAACCTCATGGTGGCCAATCCCTCTATAAGTTTACAACCTTTCTCGCTGGAACACGAAACTGCAACCCCGTCTAGTGGCATCAGGGTGCGTCCTTGCCGCCTGGTCATTATTGAGGGCACGGGGCACGGACGGTTGGCAACAGTCAAAAATTGGCCTCGCTGCAGTCCAGTGCATTCTTGACTTCCTCATTCCGTCGTTGGCGGCACACGAGCCGAGGGCTTTCAGCTTAGGGGAGATGACCAAGGTTGGTGTGAGGGATTGTGTAATTAGAACTATAGACTATAATACACAATAACATCCCAGAATATACCATTATCTACCATAATATGCCATAGTATACCATAATATACCATAACATATCAAAATATGCTATGATATACTATGATAGACCATAAACATTTTTCATATGATTTTCTCCAGATAGAGAATCCTCCCTAAGCCCTAAACCCTAAACCCTAAACCCTTACCGGAGCCAGGGCTCCTTGATGGTCAAAGAGGCATCATTCTGGAGCACACACACCGCGGTCACCTTCAGGGAAAAAGGCTGCCGGACCGAAGGGTTAAGGGTTTAGGGGTTTAGGGATTTGGGGGTTTAAGGGTTTAGGGGGTTAAGGGTTTAGGGATTAGGGTTTAGGGGTTTAGGGTTTAGGGTTTAGGGTTTGGGGTTTAGGGTTTAGGGTGAAGCTGCCCGACCGAAGCCCTTGACGCCCTGTTCTGCTCTACCTTATATTGGAGTCATAATGGCAAAGAAAAAATGGAAACTATAGGGATTTGAGGGATTATATATAGAACCTATAGGGATTATAGGGATCATATATAGAAACCATAGGGATTATAGGGATGCTATATAGGAACTATAGGGATTATAGGGATTCTATATGGTAGTTTCCCAAAATTAGGGTACCCTAATATAGACCCCAATATACTATAGTCCTTATTATTGGGGCCCCCAAAAAGGTACCCCTAATTTTGGGAAACCCCCATATGTTATATAGATTCCATTCCCTGCTGCAAGCACCTTCTCACCCCAGGTCTCATCCGGCTTTCCGACCACTGCGCATTCGCGGATCTTATCATGCTGGAGCAGTACCTTTTAGGGTCTGCTTTAGGGTTTTAGGGTTTTAGGGTTTAGGGTTTAGGGTTTTAGGGTTTAGGGGTTTAGGGTTTAGGGTTTAGGGTTTAGGGTGACCAAAGACTTCACAGAAACTGCCGCGAGCAACTGCCACTCCAATCTCTTATATACCCTATACTCCCTAAGTAACCCATAGTAGTAGTTTCCATTGCTTGTCCATGATCCCTATGTAACCCTATATAATTCTATATTATACTACCATATATTGGGGTTATAATGGAAAAGAAAATGGCTCAGCTTGCAGGGCACACTTTCGATCTCAAGGCCTGAGATCTTGTAGCCTCCGCTCTTGATGATATCCACGGATGTACGCCCTGATTCCGCATCAGCGCAAGGCATGTAAGCTCTCACCCAGGGCTTTCCAATAAATCGGGATCCCCGCTTGCTACAATAGTTTCCATGTTTTTCCGTTATCCCCTATATTATACCCCTATATTATAGCCCTATTTACACCCTTATAGTATACCGCGTATTCTAGTCCTAGATTATACCCGTATATACTGTATACCCAAGAGGGACCCTTGAATTTTTTAAACCCCTAAACCCTAAACCATAGCTCAGGCTTTGGACCTAGGATCCGGTAGATTGCGGCCAGTGCAGGGTCCGGAGCCTGAGTCAGCGTTGGTAACTGACTTACTGGTGCTTAGTCGGGATTAAAGGAATACCTGAACCCCAAAAACATGTAGAATAATGACTTGCTGGGCTTTTTTAAGGGGTGGTGGGCTATTATTTCACCTAGTCTTGGGGTCCAGGTGATTCCTGTATAACCCCTACAAGCGCCACCCAGTATGTAAGATATTCCCTTATTAGAACCAATAAGTAAGCTTAGTGATGATGGACAAAACCCTGCACCACCCCAAGCAGCCCAAATCTTGGCCTGTATTGCAGCAGTTCAGGGACCGGAGATGGTAAAAAGACTCCTACAACAGGAGACCCTAAACCCTACTACCCAAATAGCGGTATAGTCCCCCTTGGATAGATAAAATATAGGGTATATGGGGATCTATTATAAATCTGCCCGCAGCCATATTCTATCTACTTAAGGGGGACTATATGCCTAATCACTGCTTTAGTCAGGTCCAGAAGTGTCTTTCTGCCATGGTCGGCAACCGTCTGGGAGCCCGACAGTCGTGGTATCAGCGCGCGGCCTGCCAGTAGACGCTTCGACTGCCCGAGCATCGTCCTTCCACAGCAATGTGACGATTTCAACAGCTGTCTTTTTTGGAAAGTCCTTTTAACAACGTTCCAAAATGCGGAGACATGGGTTTTGAACCCAGCAAAGGCGTGGCAGATTTGAAGGGCTGGCAAGCAAAGAGCAAGACAGCAGGCGGGTTGGAACAAGAAGCTGCTTATGAGTTGCTTTAAGTTTGAGATATGGGAGGTTCTGAGAATTGCCATCTCATTCTGAGGACGGACTCGTATAAGCCTCTCAAGAAAGTCTCTTCTTTCTAGCCCGCCCAGGTGTGGGCTCAGAGTATATGACAAAAGCACATATGAGCCATAGTCTAAACTCCTAGTATCCCCCTTAATAACCCCTATATAATCCCCTATATAAACCCCTAACCGTAAACCCTAAAACCCTAAACCCTAAACCCCTTTAAGGAATTTTACCCCCCTTTATGGAGTTTAGATTATGGCTCATATGCGATATGAGATCTACAACAGCAACTTTCAGGCCCCTACCCTGGTTCTAGCAAACATGCTCCCCCCAACGGGGAAACTCCTATAGTTTAGGGTTTAGGGTTTAGGGTTGTATACATCCCTAGGATAGCCAGCGGCGTTTGCATTTCGCGGGGGCAATCCAAAACCAAACACTGATGAGAAGCCTGAATGACATTTTCTACTTAGCGTCTTGAGCACCCTGGCCTGAACAACAATACCGAGCATAATCCTTTGCGCAATGCTCGTTTGTGCGTACTTAGTTAACACCTACACCCTAAACCCTAAACCCTAAACCCTTGAACCCCAAACCCTTAAAGCCTAAACCCTAAACCCTAAACCCAAAATCCCTAAACCGTACGTAAACCCTAAACCCTATCCCATGGGCCTCCAAGTTAACCCGCCTCCAAGTTAACCCTAAACCCCCCCATCAGCTCTCCCTGCCTGTAAGGCCTGGAGCTCCTCGGGGCTGCCGCCCTTTTGGGCCTTGGGTTCAGGGATTATAGGGTTTAATCCTTTCCCTATCATGGGGTTTAGGGATAAGGGTCCAGGGCAAAGAGACACAAAGGACGTAGATCGTATAAAGGTACATGGGAATTATACTTTCACAGGAATAGGATGCCAGGTAAGTGTCACATTTGCACAGCTCAGGTCCCTAAACCCTAAACCCGAAACCGCGCAGACAGGGGCAAACTTGGGCTGTCAATGTGAGGGCAGAGGTCTCTGTTGTAGGCTTGCCCTCTTTGGGCCAACCCTGAGCCCTCAACCCTAAACCCCATTTTGAGCAACTCCCCAAAATTTGGGGCTCTGACGTTGTCGCCGGTCCTGCTGCCAGGCAACTCACGAAAGTCTGAAAGAGGCTGCGTGAAGGTCCATCGGAAAGTATGTAGAATAATTGCCTTTTGGGCTATCTTAAGTGGTTTTGGGCGATTATCTTACCTGCTTTTGGGCTCACAACTACTCTATTATCCCACTATAATGGAGAATCAAATGCAAAATACTATGGAAAATGAAATGGAAACTGGGGGAACACAGGGATTTAAGGAACTTAATACATTTCAAGCACTAATGTGTCGTAGCTGCGGCTATGACCCTAAACCCTGAGCCCCAAAATGGCTCTAATTACTATAGGCGCTGGACATCAATCATGTATCTACCATCAAGTGGGGCTGTGCGTCATGCACTCCTGAAGAATCCATCCTCTGTGAACTCCTTGGCGGTTGCCTCCTGAATTCGTTCGCGAACAACAAGTTCACCCGCCACTACTAGGATTACAGCTTTTGGCATCTCTATTGCAATCCCTACAACTTTTGAGCTGATTATGCTCACTACGATTCTTACTATCATGCTGGATCAATATCCTCTGGAGCTGTTCTCAGAGTGTGTCCTCCCGTTTGTAATACTCCTTGAAGACTGGCGCGCCTCCAAGTCACTGGGCATAACTTGTGACCTTCACCCAAGCCCTCCTATGTAGTTCCTTTTTGGGTCCATTATGTGTTGTCTTGTAAGGGTCTAAAATATACTACCCAAACAGGAATTACATAGGAGGGTATGGGAATCCCTATAGCCTTACCCACGCTTAGCTGCTTGCCTTTGACCAGGATGCCACCCTCCTGCGAAACGGAGACTCAGTGGCGTTTGGGGCTTCAGGCTTCATGCAGGAGCCTAAACAAAAATGGGTTTTAGGGTACAGCATACTATGACTACATGAGGATTGTTGAGGAATGATACTGGCATTCCTTCATGCTTCTGCGGTAGGTATGGTCCTGATCCTGCTTGACCTCCACGCCCGGCAATGTCCACCCCACGCACCTTGCGGCTGGGGAACAGCAAGTGGCTCCTTCCGCTAGTTTTGCCCTGCAGCATTCGCTGTACGGAGCCCGCCCGTAGCAACCGTAACATCACCATTGTGGAATTTTATTTGCTTACAACAGATCCTTGGGGTACGTTTTAAAAAGCATGTTAAGCGTTGCTACGCGACAATAATGGCAGCTTTCGTGCTACTACGTTACATAACCCGTACAAGCCCTTAATTACATAAACTCACATATCCAGCTCAGTTTCATGTAGTTGTGCTCTTTCCGTCTGGCAGTTTTCGAGCTGCTACGTTGGTAAGAATGTTTATGTGTTTATTGTCTGGTCTTTTTTGTTGTTTTGGCTTTTCGGGTGTTCATTTTTTTGCTGTCTGGGCGGGGGCGTGTTTTACTTTTTGCCGTTTGGGCGGGGCGTGTTTGTTTTTTTGCTGTTTGGGGGGGGGAGGGAGGGGGGGGGGGATGTAGAAAGTAGGGCCCCTAAAAGATCCCACTGTAAGCCTACGACAATACTTATATGTCCTGTACTTGTATAGAAGTATACACATGGCTG